TCCTTTTCCCCCGAAGGGTAGGCCCTTTAAAAACTTTTCCCTTTAAAAAAACCGAACCCTTTTTTTTTTGGGTCCCCCCTTTCTTTTTCGGGGGAAACCCGGTTTTTTTATAAATTTCCAAGGGGGGGCCCGGGGGGAACCCCGTTTTTATTTTTCCCCCCCCCCAAAATTCCCCCTAAACCTTTCCCCCCCTTTGCAAAGGACCCGGGAAATAAGGGCTCCCCCCCCCCCCCTACGGGTAGGGTCCCGGGGCCCCCCCCCCCCCCGCCCCCCCTCGCTTCTGTCAGGCGATGCCGGCCGTGGCGCACCTGTATGCGCAGGACGGCCCGGCCTCCTCCTCTGCCTCCGGCATCACCACCGGCCGAGACCCCGAGAGCGCGGTCGCGACCACGAGCGGTAACGCCACCGCTGCTGCCCCGGGAGGTGGCGCGGGCGGTCACAGGAGGCCCGGCAGCATCACCGAAGTCGACGAGACTGTGGACACGAGCGGGGACGAGAGCGGGGGCGACGCAGGCGCGAAGGCGGTGGGCGAAGGGAGTGCGGTTACGCTGGCGGCGGCGGAGGAGGCGGCGGGGAAGCTGCTGGTGGGGGCGGCTAAGGAGCGCCAGTCGGTGATGAGCATGAACACGGTGGTCCTTCAGGAGGCCAAGAGGAACAAGAGGTTCAGGTTCTTCAGCGAAGAGAGGTGAAGACTGACGTGCTTGTGGTTGAAAGGGGGCGGGGGTTCAGTTCTCTTGAGGGTGGGCATTGGTTCCCACATGTACTGGGCGAAGGGCACCTGTCATTCGTGTCTAGGTTTATCGCGCTCCTAAGTTTACGGTTTGTTTTCTTGTATCAGGTTGTGTTTCGTGCACAACAAGCTGCTGGTACAAAAAAGTCTTGTAACCCGACGAAATGTTCAGCCATGCTTGTAGTCTTGAGCCCAACGCTACCGCGACACGTTTTGTGATTGTCTGCACGGCATCACAGGCAATTCGTGTCGGACTTGACGGACGTCTGCGAAGCCCTCCGGTTCGTGGAGCCACGCTCGGACCGCGGCCCGAAGCTGGAGGCCCTACTGATGAAGGTCAAGATTCCGGAGTGTGGGTACCTGCCTCTGTGCCGATCCACGGAGCCCTTCCAGCGAGTTATTAAGATTACGCCCAACGAGGCGAAGGCGTTCAACACCAAGGTTAGAGAGTAAACACACACACACACACACACACACACACAGAGAGAGAGAGAGAGAGAGAGAGAGAGAGAGAGAGAGAGACGCATACAGAGAGGAAGAGAGAGATTTTATGCTTTTTAGAAAATGTAGATCAAATCGCAGAGAGACTGCCCGTTCGAGACATAATCATAGTCGAAGAGGATTATTTTGCCGAGGTTTCCCTCTTCTTTATTTTTTCATCCCGGAAACTCTTGCGCATGTGTGCATCAAGGTAAAAGAGAAAAAGGTGCACATAGTTTTCTTTGTTTTCTTTGTTTTCTTTCTGTCCTGCAAGCCCTGTGCAGGCGGCACCAAAAAATTTCGTGGCACGCCCCCCGTTTTCCAGCGCGACACGGGTAGTAGGGTGGGCGTACTGTATTCTACGCCAGCTCGCTGCTGCTGGTGCTGTTTTGAATAACAGGGCTGGGTTCTGATCCACATCTTTGGGCAATGGTATATGTATATGGCATCGGTTTTGCGTGCGTTTTCTTTTTTTCTTTCCCAGGAGAGGGTACCTTCTTTGGTGACGTTCGAGACGGAGCAGACGTGGGCGCCTGGCGGGGAGTCTGCCGGATCTCCTCCCCTTGACGTTGCGAGTTATCTCCACTTTGTGAGTGTTGAGGTCTTGAGAGGTTGGTCATGGCGCCACTATCTGTGGCACACGTTCCGCGAGTATCGTCGCTGGGTGTGGCGTATCGCGGGTTAAGGAAGACGGAGGCCACAAATTTGGGGAAGTCGATTGATTGTTGGTGATTTTTGTTGGGTGTGTGTAAATTTTCTGTGTGTTCTTCATGATCACGTCTGCGTGGACATCGAATACATTGGTAGTCTCTCAGGAGAGCTACCTACTGCTGTCCCTGCTGCTTGCTGGGGCTTGCTATCGTCGCTGTTGCTACTGGTGTCGTTGCTGCTTGCTGTTACATACTGTACCGCCTTTGGTGGCATTTCATCACCCCTGCATCTGTTCGGTCCGTGCAGTACAAGTAGACCAGATGTCAAAAGCCAACCGTGTGCTCTCTGTCCTCCCCCTTGTTGCTGCTCTGCCTCGCTGCCTAATATTAGGTGTACGGGTTCCACGCCCCGATGCACCAGGACCAAGTGCGGTACGCCTCCAGCGCCCTTAGGGGCGGAGAGGACTCGATCATGGAGCCCGACCTGTTGGCGGTGAGAAAACGGGGAGAAAAAGAGTCTGAGAGGGAGGGGGGAGGGAGGGAAGGAGATAGAGCGGGGGGGGGCGGGGGGGGGGGGGGGAAGCCCAAAAAAAAAATGAAAGAAAAAAAGGGGGGGGGGGGGGGAAAAGGGCAAAAGGGAAAAAAAACAGATGGGGAGGAAAGGGGAAAAGGGGAAAAAAAGGTTTAAAGAAACAAAAGCGGGGCACAGGAAGTTTCAGGGCGAACGAGAGACAAAAGGTCAAATGACAATTTTCAAAGGCGCGCAAAAAACAAAGGGCGGACAGGGCAAAAGCAAGAAAAAGAAAAAACTTTTTTTTTGCCCAAAAATTTCTCCCCCTGGCCCCCCC